GGGTTAAAACAACCCAGCATTTTTTAGAGTGTTGTATTGTGCTTTTTACAATACAGCGATAAACAGGAAAATATAATGAATGATGCTAACAGACTTCAATTATGCTGTAGACCAGCTCTAGACAATAGTGCCATTATTCATCTGAAGTCAGTGAAGTGTTGATTCAGTTCAATAACTGTGAAAAGTTTAGCAATTATGAAATGTGTTTAATTCAGCTAGAAAGAAGCTCTGCAGAAAACAGTGATGTCATTATCCAGTTCTCATCCAATCATGCCGGGGCAGTCAAATCAATAATACTGCTGAATACTAAGAGTCCCAACCAGGGGCGGTTCTAAGGTCAGTGGATATTTGGGTAAACTAAAAATTAAATTAAAATTGTCTATTTTTATTTAAAGGAATTAATAAGTTTAAGGGAATGAAGAACAAGAAAGGTGTGTTGAATTAGTGAAATGATAACTATTTGCAAATAATTTTAAGTAGTATGTATGCATGCATTTTCTATATGAATCAAGGAAATTAATTATAGCATATTTTCATTTCAAAAAGTAAAAAAAAGTGATAAATTGTCAGTAGTTACATTACTATTGTAAAACAGTTGTCAAATATAAAAAAGTTCATCTAATTACATTTTTACCAAGCATTCATTCAATGTCAACACCCTTCTGTGAAAGGTAAGCTCTGCTTTCTTTAATCATTGTGACATTGATGAGCTAGAACTTTAAGCACAGAGATTATTTAAACGCCTCTGATTGGCCGATGCCTTCAACAGACATGTCTGTGATTGGCTACAATGCTCAACGCTGCAAAAGAAAATTGTAAGTACCTTTAATGTAAAGGTAAAAATCAGGGCTGGGCAACGATTAATCGCATCCAAAATAAAAGCTTGTGTTTACATAATATATGTGTGTGTACTGTGTATAATTATTTTGTATAGAAATATTCACACACATGCATGAATATATTTAAGAAAAATGTGTTATTAATATATAAAATATTAATATTTATATTTAATATAAATTATGTATAAATATGTATATATATATATATATATATATATATATATACTGTGTATATATATAAATATATAAATATTTCTTAAATATATACACATTTTTATTTATTTTTTTTACATTTTATTTATATATACAAAATAATTATACACACACATACATATATATATATATATATATATATATATATATATATATATATATATATATATATTATTCCTGGGCAAAAAGAGTAGACAGTTAAACTGCCAAAAATTGCTGTTTGTAATTTAACAGAAAAAAAGTAAATCATATAATCATTACTGTGAGTGAAATAAAGACATGTTTATTTATTGGTGAACTGTTGTGTAAATGCAAACCATCAATATATTCATATTCACTAACAGATGCCTCTAGTTGTTAAAAGGAAAATCCTTTAAATTAGTCATTATCATGTCGACCCAAACCTATCTGACTTTCTTGTGTGAAAAAATTATGGACAAAAACATTTCTCAAAATATTTTCTTCTTTACTGAAGAAATTCATACAGGTTTGGAATGACATGCCAAAGTTACATTTTGGGGTGAACTATCCCTTTAAGAAGTTTCCAGTGTAGATCCCATATGTTTTAGAGTGGGCTATTGCAGAATATTTCAATGAAATTCTCACATTTCATAAATAAGTGCTCCTAAGGCTTTTTTTTTTTTTTATTTAAAAGCCTTTCTGTTAGATATGATAAGAAGGAGATCTCACGAACAAAACAAGAAAATAAAAACCTCCCTAGCTATGAAAAAAACAATCCATAATTCATAGTCTTCTGTCTAGTCTGGGGGCAAAAGTCATAGTGGCATCTATTATTGATCATACTTATGTTATTAATTCACAATACGAGCTTGAGGAAGAGCTAGACATGAGATCTGACAGTTTCTGCTGTGCATGGTGATCTTCAGAGTCTTTAAGAAAGAGTGCTCAATTCAGTTTGCAGTTAAAACTGTATCCGTCACTGTTCACCTAAATGGTGTAACAAAACATACAAATTATAACAAAGCACTTCAAAAATCTGTTATATAAATCCTGTTATTGTTTTACTCCAAAAGATTCATTGCCCGATTGAGCTGTCAGAATGAAACAGACTGAATCGTAAACTGATTCATACTGTTTTGCTAAAATGTTTGACTAATTCATTGTAAACAATCGACTCATCTGATTCACACATGAATCACTCTAACACTAGGTTTCATTGTTCATTGTATTTCATGTAACATAGTACAGAATTTCAATGTCTAAATAGTACAATAGAGGAGAATATGAGCGCACGTATAAAATCAAGGTGTTTTTTTCCTCCTTGAGTATGAGACATTGATTTTATACAGCAGCCCAAACTAAGAAAACATCAAATTTGCAGCAAATTCTGATATTTATATTCAGTGTTGGGGTAACTCATAAGTAAATTAACTTTTTGCTTATATAAAATGCAAATAAATTCAGTTATCTCCCATAATATGTCTTAGTAAGATTTAAATGCTTAACTTCATGATCAAAGCTTTGTACTTGTATTGCTGGGGTCAAAACATAATACAATGCTTATTGAGATATATGTACATTTAAATGACCCTCAAAAGCCTGTTGATACTCACATTTTCAGCATTTTTTTTTAATTATGTATGGATAATCAAGTTGCTTCAGTCAAGTGCATTCTCATTTACTTTGAATGGGTGGTGTCATGCTTTGACGAAATCAAACGTGGCTTCCGCTGCAATACGTCACCAGTGTTGCTTGCGGCAGAAGTTAAAAAATGTTAAACTTTTTCTTTCTTTTTTTAAGCGCCAACGCAGGCGTCAGCCAATCAGATCGCCTATACAAATACCCTAGCACAAGCCAAATGCGTTCAATTTGTAATTTGTATCATATATAATACAACAGGCTTCAAATAGTAGCTTTGCTACTGTACTGAAAAATAGCCACACTACTACCTCACTACTAAGAAATGTAGTTCAACTAATAGCATCAGTAATCTGTAGCAATGCCACGGCCCATTGCCTGGATGTGGATGGAGCTGTAACACACACGTTTCTCTGGAGAGCGGTTGAATTTCAGAGTCTGTCACTGGTTCTTCCTGTGGGGGAGGTCAAAGGGGAAAGAGCCAGCACAGGGTAACTCAGCGGCCTCTGAACAAAAGAATAGATGGCAGGAGAGAGAGACGTGAGAGAAACGGTGGGAGTCCCATACATCACCCTTTCTCCAGGCCAGCAGGATGCCCCCCGTTCACGATTTGTTACCGCCAGGAAGAAACAGCCCTGTCATTGTGAGCAAGTAGGTCAATGGACCCCAAGCAGCTGAGAGAACACAAATCAGTCTAATGTAGCCCAGAAGAGCACAGAAGACAATGAAAACAGAATTATTGTTTGACTGCATCAAAAAAAGTTAATGCTCCACAAAACCAATATAAGCATTCTGTTGCTAAAAGGATGAAAATGTAAAAACTTACAGTAGTTTTGGCATAATGCCGTCATGTTATTTAGGATTTTGGCTAAAAAAAAAAAACTTTTAGTCACCAAGTCAAGTCATGTGCGACAAATAAGAGGAAATGATCAGTGACGGTCCATAAAGACCTTCATTACTGTTTGTTAAGGTCAATAATTTAAATATCAAATAATTGGTCTTTTTTTATGATAAGGCATGGTTAGATTGTACACTGCCATGTGGTGTGACTATGCAAAAACATGATGGTAATTCATGATATTTATATATATATATATATATATATATATATATATATATATATGAAGAGTTCAGATGCAAAAGCCTCTAAATGCCATTTGAAATGTTCTTCTAAAATGACCATTTTTATCAAGCTTGTATATTTAAGTTCAGTAATTTCAGTTAATAACAATTAATAGGTAATCTTCATTGCCATTTAAGTGAAATTACTGAACTTAAATATACAAGCTTGATAAAAATGATCATTTTAGAAGAAAATTTCAAATGGCACTTAGAGGCTTTTGAATCTGAACTCTTCCTATATATATATATATATATATATATATATGTTTTTTTTTTGTTTTGTTTTTTTGTTTTGTTTTTTAACTTGAAAAATCTGTTTAAAAACTTGATTAAAAAATGAACACACATTCAAAGTATAAAGAAACTATGTTGTTACTTTTTACTTGGATACACCACGACATCTTTAAAGTCATTAAATTGAAACTTCTTGAAAAGATAATAAAAGGTTTTTCCAGCATAAGTAAAAATAGTATTATATTTATAAGATCTTGGCACATGTGTTTTAACTAGATTTTCTTTGTGTCAAGACACTGTTAATCATCCCCCACTCGCATGCAATTAGGGCTATAATCACAAAAGACTACATTTAGATAATTGGTTCACACAGTCACTGATAATATATATATATATATATATATATATATATATAGTATAGATTTATATATATATATATATATATATATATTTTTTTTTTTTTTTTTTTTTCTTAAATTTCTGTCCTCAAATATGAAGTTTCAATTATCATTGTATACCAATTCAAAACAAAGATGTCCTGCCTGTATGCAATAATCAATAGTAATGACAGAGCCTGAAGCCACCATAAGATACAGTAAAACAAGTATAACTGACAGGCAAATGTGTTTATCTATATCGCCGCTGGTTACATTTGCACTTCAGTGTGCATTGTGTTTACAATTGTCCTAAAAGAGCATAGCCAAAAGGGTTAATGCAATGAATGACATTGGGCCCCAAACACACACAGCATAAGACAGACATCTACGCAAACACCCACGCAGGGGGCCTAGCATCTGGCTAAGCTATCAACGCTCTTGTAACGTCTCTTGTCAATTTACGGGTCCTGTTTTTCTAAGTTAGTGCTCACTGCGGTGCTTTAAATATGCAGCTGAAGAGGCCAGATCCCCATCTCTGACCTCAATACGGCCTGCTATACCCTCTTATCACAACCAAACGAAAAAGGAAAGAGAGAGCAAAATACTCAATGACCACTGGGCGCAGGACTGTGTAAACCACTGAAGCAACTTGGCAGCAGTGTGCCGAGATAATTTGGACATCAAGCTGAAAGCATACTAGTGCTTGTACTAGAAACAAGGTCAGCATGACAGGTTACAGAAGTGTGGGAAAAGCATGCCGTTCGGCCGTCGGGCTTGATTACTCACTCGCTCCTTCTGAAGGAGTCAGGTCCAGTCTCTCTACAGGCTCGGTTTAAGAGCGACCAAAGTCATCTGTCTGTCACTGCCGGTTTCCAGTCACACAGACAGGCAAACAATGAGGAGGAAGTCATGAAATGAACCACAGCCTCTGGTTTCTGTTGTGTCTCGGAAAGGCCTCAGCTCCCACTCAAGAATCTGTGGCATGGACAAAAGAGAGAAGGTCAAAGATGATTCCGGAAACAACAAGGTTCTGGCCCAGAGTGTGTGTAAAAACCCCGTCCTACTGTTATTTTGAGCTATCAGGAACACATTCCTTCCAAGCTCTGGTTTTTCAAACACTTAGACAATCAGCCAGAAGGCTAGGCAGGGAGAAAGACCTGTGTGTTGTCGATCAAGCTATACTTTGGGAGTCTTGGGGTTTTCTTTTTGTCCTTTTCCAAAGGAAAAATTGAATTCTCTCATAATTCACTCACCCTCATGCCAATTTAGCTCTTGCACAAACCACATTAGGAGAAATGTTTGAAGAATTTACTGGTTTGCTATAACTATAATTAGTAAATGGGAAGTCTCCAGTAAGATAGCTATGTAAATATGCGTATGACTGAATGACTACCGTTTTAGTGCTAAAACAGGTGAGAGATGTATAAATAGACCATTTTGAGTGACACAAACACTTAGGCGGAGAAAAAGAAAACATAAATCAACAGAACTGTTAAATTTATGTCATTTCAAAGGTTGTTTCATGTGGTTAGGAACTACAGCATTAGCATACTTCACATTTCAGGACCCAAACTGCAGCACACACCCACCCACACACTCATACAGGTCCTTCATTCAGGCCTGTGGAATGTGAGTGTGTCCAGGTGCAGACCGAAAAGACTCGGGACTTTCCCCCTCAGCCCTTCTGATCCCTGTAGCAGAGCTCATGACTCAATATGGACACACACACACACATCAGAGAGAGAGAGGAATGGCCACTTGCCTAATGAAAATTTTCCCACCTCTTCCCTATCAGCAATAGCTAAGATTACCCACAAGTCAATGACAAGTGCTCTCTGAGGACTCAGTAGCAGGAAAGGAAGTGTGAAAAAGCCACTCTGGTAATTATTTATGAATATACCGCACATTTACAGCTATCAAAATATATTTCAGTGCTTAATAACTGAGGCTATGAATGGACCTTTTGAATGTGCCATACTTTGCTGATCTATGGGATATAGAGTTACACACCTTTGAAGAGAAATCTAACAGCCAATTGATTCCTTGGAAAAAACAAACATTAAATTGGACATACAAATTACACAGAGGATTCTATCTCAAGGCAGTAGGTCAAATACAAGTGTATCTGGATGGAGTACAATCTTACAATCTTTCTAAAGCCTTACGATAGTATAGTTGGTTACATTGATCCAAAACTGGATTAGGAAATTGACCGTAGAAACTTGGCTGGACTGGTAGACTATCTTGGTCAAGCTGGTTAGGGCTGGTAAACTTTTCTTCTGGAGAGGCTAGAAGACTGTATGGCGCATCAGCTGAACATCAGCTAGCCCCAGACTGGGAGACCAGCTTTATCCGCATAAAACCAGCAAACACGTTTGGCTAGTTTAGTGTAAGGCTAAACAGTCAACCACCTTATCAAGATAATTCTCGGACCAAGGGTATCTGCAGTGTTGCACAAGCAAAAGTTAGGCCTGTATCGTTTCAATATGTAGCTTTACCGTAGCTTTTCTTATGGGGAATTGTAAGTGTTACTGTTTTGGCAAATTGGTGGCTAATTTTGATGAATACATATGACATTTTTGAATATGAATACGTATGACACTTATACATTTTCATTCAATCTGTTTACAATGGGGTGTAAACAGCCCATTGTAAACAGATTGAATGAAAATGTATAAGCGTCATTGTACCCCATTGTAAACAGATTGAATAGAATTGTATAAGTGTCATACGTATTCATATTCAAAAATGTCATATGTATTCATTAAAATTAGCCACCAATTTGCCAAAACAGTCATATACAATTTCCCATAAGAGTGTGTGGACTGTGCCCGGTAAAGCTACTTTAAGACTTTTTTCTAAAAATCTGATGTTTCCAATACAAATTACATTGTACAAATACATTTTTCATGAGATCGTTTCGCTTGATAAGACCCTTACTCATCGTCTAGAATCGTTTAAACCCCTTTGAACAGTTTGCAGTCTGTACTGAAAATGTCATTTGGACCTTGAACCGTTTGGTTCTCAGTGAAGTGCATTATATGGAGAAAAATGCTGGAATGTTTTCATCAAAAAGCTTAATTTCTTTTCGACTGAAGAAAGAATGACATCTTGGATGACATGGAGGTGAGTGAAATTGATCAGCAAGTGTTTTTCAAAAGTGAACTACTCCGTTAATGTTATCGTCACATGTTGGGTACTACTGCATCTTTGAGTCCAAGACAAATTTCCTGAGCAAGAACAACTAAGTCTACACTTGATTCAAAGGAATGTCAAGCAAAAACCACTGTGAGCAGCTTGACCACCTTGATGCAACGCTAAGTAGGATTTTTTACCTTCAAAAAATCTTCCCAAAATCGTTTCAGTGGTTCGTCAAGTCGTGACATGGTGAAATGCACTTATACCACTGCTTTGCAGTCCTTTATTTGGTATATGCACGTATATGTAAGAGATTGCCAGATCAGGTCGCGTTTCTGTAGTTCTAATGAGGACAATTCCACTTCCAACTGAGGCGACCACAGAGGAAAAGTTCCTTGGTGTTGCTTTAAGAGGTTAGGACATTGTTTTACCAGGAGGGTAGTCCAAAGGTAAAGAACAGCAAGGACTGACCGTAACTCTAGAGCACATATGCTGAAATTGATCAAAATATGGCAGTTCTCTGAGTTCACAGCTGTGCTGACTGTTTGAGCTGGGCCAAGCTGGCAGTGGTCAACAGCTGAGGCAGAACTGGGCACCAAAGCAGCTCAGTGACAGCCCACATTCCCCCAGCTCAACAGCCAAACGCTTCTTTAAAGAGCCCGATTATGCATTCCCAGCCTTCAGCAGTAAAGCAGTCCGTTAAAACGAATGACACTGGATTCTCAGCACTTAACACTGACGTTTCTCTTCATAGATCGTGCCGCCACAGTCAGAGGAGGTCGTTTGAAGCACATTCTCAAAGTTCCTTCACACAACCAGTGAGTGCATTTAAAGAGACCACTTGACCTCATGATCAAGGTAATTAATAAAGCAAGCTTCTAGCAAAAAGCACATGCAAATGCTACGCGAGAAAATTCACGAAGGAATTAGCGTATGAGCGCCTAGCTATTTTTACGATGAATTGTCTGCGGTTTGTGTGCCAACAGTGTTTTTTCTAATGCAATTTCCATCTAAACAACCTGTCCGTCACTGTTAACTGTGTACATCTGCTGTATATCCAATGCTTTAAGTTGCAGTAATCCAGCAAACAGCTGCAAAGGGCTAAAAAAGCCACATGATTTGAAGCTCTTGCCAGCTGCCTGCCATCTTTGAGTTAAACACATCAAAAGTTCTTCATTTAACACCCTGGAGGGGGGGGGGGTAGAGATGGTGGGAGAAAAACAGACAATAATGAGAATAAATGCAAGCAATGTGTCTGGGGACAGTCAAAGGCCTGTTTTACACCACACGTACAAGCACTAAGTGAAGCAGCAGTTGTTCTTTCACACTGACAGCATTGCACCTAGTAGCTTTTTGTTTGTGAATGAACCACTCATTCACTTGACACTTTCTTTTCCCACTGAATGCTCTCAGTTTTGATCTCCTGCCTTTAAAGACTGACTATGAGCAGATAGCATTCAAGTGTGACTATCTTCTACAGATTCAAATTGATTCTTAAATTCTAAACATCGTTTTTCTAAATGTTAGTAACACAAGTCAGCTGTGAGGGCAGTGCAGCACCAGTATATATATATATATATATTTTTTTTTAAAACAATCACACCATTTTCACATTTGCAGTGTAAATGCATTCATGCCACCTCTGAACTGCATTAAACATTCAATGTAAATACATCTAAATGCCACTTTGGATGCAGCATCTGACACTTCTACAAGTGCAAAAATGTCTTTTGTTGTTACTGTTGATTGGCACCCCTGTAGCGTCTTATTCTGATTTCATTTATGGATTACATAGAATAATGAGAGGCAGAATCATGTCAGTTCAATTTGGCTTGTTCCAGCAGCTGAGAAGATTGCGAAGTAAAAGACGGGAAAAGTGGGGAAATGCTAATGATGCTTAAACACACTTTCTAGAGTCTCTTAGTAGGCTATATTTGCACACACACACATTTTAATAACAGATAAGAAAACTTGTTTTGGTGTTTGGTTGCGTGAACAATTCAGTGGCTCATCATTTATAACACATAAAAAGCCACTCACTTGACACAAAAACTAAATGAATCCGTGAAAAAGCTGAAATCTTTTCAGTGAATGTATTCAAATGATTCAAAACCGAATAGTGTTGTCAAAAAATATTGTTATTTCGATACTGAGTAATCTGAAACAGTTCAAATACTTATAGAGACCAGCTGCGTGTTCTCGCTCTCTCTTTTTTCCAATGGTGAACTGACACACCCGCCTCCTATCACTCACTCATCTCATTCGCTTGCAAACAGCTTGAAAAATTAACCAAATAGAATGCACTAAAATGGCCTACACATACACATACAAATACATAAATGTCCGTCTTGAGTATTCAGGTAAAAACATTCAGTTATACAACATAACCTATGTTGTTGTGTAACAGTATATTGGATCCACGCATACGCTCTTAAAGTGACAGCAGCCTAATAAACCTGCTGCTGTCTGTCATGTTATTCAAAAAGCAAAAGGCAAAGAGAAAACCACTTTCTGCACTTGACTTTAATTCTATCCATTGATCTGCATTTAATCTTTACAATGAAAACTATCCAGTGTTATTTTACATTTGATTATTTTCATTTCTAGATTATTTCTTACCTGAATACTACTGTTAGACCCGACTGAAAGTCTCAAAGCCATGTTTGTTTCATTTGACTCTTTATTCTACTGTATTTATTTGTGCTATGATGGCAATTTGTTTATTTGTTCTTATATTAATATCGACAGTTCACCTGTCTTTTGGGGGTAAATTTAATTCTCTGTGCAAGTTATTACAACAAAATTACCCAAATTATATATATACAGTATATATATAT